TTGGAAACCCTCCAAGCCACGGCCTTTAGCGCACCGTGGTAGCTTCAAGCGCACCAGATTGTTATTAGTGAGGAAAGAAATGCGCTGAGGGTCGACGTCAGTCTCTCCCCCAGCCCTAGCAACAGGCCACCGTCTAGCTGATCGGTCGCCTGACGTGGGGTGGGCGCAGTGTTAAAAAGGCAAAGAAGCTGAGGGGGAGCATTGTAGGGCAGGTTGTACAAGGGAAGAGGAAAAAGAAGAAAAGAACAAATAGCAAGCACGAGTCACACCATTTGGAGATAAGCCGCAATTTCTGACGTGGCGTAAAGCCTCCGGTTCTCAAGAGAGCGGCAAGTGCTTGGTCTCCGTTCCGCGTAGTCCTTAGACCACAAAAACGGTTGTGGATGAAAAAGGACGCTGTTTCTTCCAAAGCAGATTTGCGGTTTAGTCGCTCAGGTCTCCCCACGATCTACCTGCAATGTGTCTCACGATAGGAAGACCGTTTGTGTTTTGGTTTGAAGTCTCGTTTTAAGCCTTAGAGTGTAAAAAGCGGCAGTTTAACCGAGAATAAGGTTCGTTTTTATAAGGTCATTTTATATCAGATCAGGATATGAAAATGACCGTGGTAGGTTGGCGCTCACTGCTCGGTCACAGAACACACTCCTTCCGCGGCGTCTTTGGGCTGCATTTCGAGCCCAACCAGCAGCCGTACAGTGGGTATTATTGTAGTGAGGGGAGACGACTAATAAGACAAAATGACCATTCGGAAGTGTTCTTCTGCCAAGGAAATGGCTGTTCTACAGTTATAAAGCCACTCATAATATGATGTCGTTGTTTGAATCTAAAAAAGGCATGCGACTTTTAATTCCCATCATGTAATTTTCATCCGCGCCAATAGTCAAATTTTAAAGTTATGATTTACTCGAGGCATTCTGTGCTTGCCGAATGGCCTTTGTAAACTGACTAGCAACTACTACTTTTCCAATATATACTCCATGGATAACAGTTCCAATGCAAGCCCATGGCCAACAGAATTGTAGCGTTGAACTTATACTCATCATGTCGCGGGTTCGATGCTCGGGTGGTGTACCACCTGGGATTGGGTATGACTGGCTCATGTTGGCTAATAAGCCAAGAATGGTCATTTCAGTCTCCCTTGTCTTTGTTGGCAAAGTCGTTTTGCCCATAGGACTAGCCACTATGCGGCTGCTGGCAGTGCTCGAAAGTGAGCTCCAAGGCAGTATGGGAGTCACGTAAACTAACGGCTTCAGAGCCGAAGTTCCATATGACCTCTGTGTGTGTGTGTTCGACTATCGATTTCGATAAAGTCCACCAAGTGCACCAACAGTTTGGTACAGAAGGTGACACGTCTCAGGGGGTAGATTATAGTGATAGGGAACGTAGTTAGCGCCAACGAAATGTGGCGTTGGCCGCTTTATCCAATGCAAGCCAGAAACACTGTCTAACTTAGTCTTAAGTGCGAGTGAACTTTGCGTGGGTACTACCGCAATACTTACCCTCGCTCACCCTTAGTAGGTGTCAAGACAGGCTCAAGGAGGCCGTGACTGATACTGTTACTCCTATTTCTACTACTAAGTACTAGTTAACAATGCAGCTGCGTGTTAGTAGTACTGGTACTAACATTTGTCAGAGCTAACGCTGATTAAAGACAATGCTGAGGCTCTTACCCCTTGATCTCAAAAAGGAGTGTGAATGTGGGCTTAAACTATTATCAGTAAGTACATGATTGGGGCCCTGAGCACAGCAGAGCTTGCCTTGGTTTCCACCCCCTCAACTCCATCCATCAGGCCGTGTCCGCTCCTACTAGTTTCGGATCACGGTACGGTTGCTAGAAGTACGTGCCTATGCTAAAGTGCTAATTCATGTTTACTAAGGCCAGTAAATGGTATACTATAATACGACCTGTGTGTGCTTTGTATGAGTTTGGCACCCATTATGCACCCCCAGTCTGAATAAGGTAAAGTGATTAGCTTATGGGTTAAATAAAGCGCTATAAAAAGATAGCATAAATCCTACCATGCCTTTATGTCGTAAAGTTTACCGCCTCTAGACTACTCATAGTCCTACTACAGTA